CTCTCTCTCTCTCTCTCTCTCATCCCCAAACCCGGAACTCGCTGCTTTAATTTCCATTTTACCGGTCTATTCGAAAGTCTCCTATTTTTTTCCAAAATCGGTAGGCTTATGGATTAAAGTAAACCCTATAGAGTGTAGGCCACCTAGATCTAGAATCTTGATCTAGATCTAGATCTAGATCTAGTTCTAGATCCATTTTTTGACCAACGTTGTAGAGAATCTATATTCATCGAACTTTTAAAAAAAATGTAGATATCTAGATCTAGAATCTAGATCTAGATAGATTCTAAATCTAGATCTATCTAGATCTAGAGACTCTATACCCAGCTTACTGTGGTTTGGTTTGTTTAATTTCTTCTCTTCTTTCCCTCAACCAAACCAACGGTCGTCTGTTTTAGTCTTGATCGTAATGTTTTAACTTAATCTTCCAGACCACGTCTCCTCCCAGGACTGAAATTAACGTCTTTCGCCTTGGCGATTTTGATCATAACGATCTCTATAAATTCCCTTTTACAAAGTGTATAAAGTGCTCTTGTACATGTAAATGACGTTTTTTAAAAAGTAAAGTTCATTCAATATCAGATGTTGATGTATATTTCTGGTAGTTGACTGTTCTATTGCTGATCTTTATTATCTGGTGTGGTGGAATTCGGTCAGCAATGCTCCCTCAATAATATATAGGCCTAGTTGCCAACTTACAATGTTATATAGAGGCCTTGGTCAGTTAACAGGCAGGCACCTTTTGGACCAGCGATTTAAAAAAAACCTTTATTTTATCCATCCTGCTCTGCCCTGGTACTTCGTTGTAGACAGTTTCTCTCTTCCTCCTCCACCTCACCCACCTCGCCTTCTTTCTCTCTCACTTTTCTTCCTCTATCTATCTCCCCTCTCTCTCACTTTTCTTCCTCCCCCCCCCCCAATCGTCGTCTTACCTCTTTCTTTCTCTCTCCCTCTTCTCCCCTTCTCCACTCTCTCCCTCCCTCCCTCCCTTATTCTCTCTCGTTCTCCCCTTGATCCTTGTCTTTCCCCTCTCTTTTATCTGACTCTCTCCTCCTCTCCTTCCCTTCGGGTTTCTTTTCACCCTCTTCTCTCTCTCCCTCCCCCCCTCCTCCCCTCTCTCACTCTCTTTCGTCTCCTTCTCCTCATCCTTTCTTTGTCTTTCCTTGTCTGTCCTCTTCTGTCTACCCCACTCTCTCTCTCTTTCTCTCTCTCTCTCTCTCTCTCTCTCTGCTGCTCTCTTTCTCTCTCCCAATATATCGTATCTGACGACATTCCGTGCGTCTTCTAGAGTTTGACGTGAATGGATATGTAGAGGTGAGAAAAAGTACGGTAGAATATAGATCTAAATGACAAATTGTCGTAGGCCTGGTTTCAAATTAGATCTACACCGGTTGGTGTAAATCGAATTATAAGAATCCAAGTTGGCAATCGCACGTCGAGAATTTTCTATTACACGGTTACAATAATTCATAAAGCTATTACCCCCCCCCCCCCCCCCCCCCCCCGGGCGCCGGGAAAAAATGAAAAGAGAGAAGACAGGAGTGGGGGGAGGGGGTGTGAGGTGTAAGCTGCTCAATTTAAATTTATGGAGATTTATTGAAACGACACTAGATCTAGTGTAAGTACTTCTGTGACTAAACCAGTTTGGTATATAGATCTATGTCTTGTTTGGACGAGATTCTCTAAACCATTGTATTCATCATTACACCAATAGTGATTCGTTAAAAAGAACAAAGGCACGAGTATAGATCTGCATAATAAGTTAGAGGGAGGTGTATAGGCCTAATAAAATAATACTAATATTTGAAACTTGATAAGTGTTCTACTTCCGATGGAACTATCCCATGCTTTCCACGGATCGACACAGACGTTCGTCGTTCGCCGGCCGCAAGAGAGTGATCGGCCTTAGATTATCGACCGCATTCAGGGGTCACCGGGTTAGGTCAGTGTGTCCCAGCCCACAGAGTTAACTCCCGTTCTCTCCCTCTTCATGTTTTTGCCTTCGTCGCTGGGGTTTTGCCGTAAACCTCCTAAAAGTTGAACACTTGCAAGTTGAGGTTGCACTCTGCGTTCGACATTCGGCTTTTATTATATTATGCACATGTAGACCGATGTACTTTTACCAAACTTTCGACGTGTGTTGGTGCATTCCAGTAGGTAACCAACGACCGGCGTGGCGTTACGTAATGGTGCATTCGTCGCCCTTTCTTTCTGCCGCTTGCCGCTGTCCTACTGTCTCCTCGCGGGGTCACCAGGACAGGGAAGTCGGGTGAGATGAAAGGAAGAAGGGTCGGCGTTTCTGTGCAAAAGAATTGGATTTGACCCTTTGGGTATTATCGTATAGTGTCGACCTTTGAACAGGATAAGAGTAACAAAATCGCTAAAAGCAGGATTTAGGGGAAAGGGAAAAGGGGGGGGGGGAGCCCAGTTGAATATAAGTATAAAGGATGGATCTTGGTGTAAAGAGGTAAAATTTATGTGGGTCTCCTTTCGTACTAACCCTTTCTGTTTGCATTATTAGCATTTTGTTTTTCGGAAAAGGCTGGGTTTTAAAAAAATATTTTTAGCCTTCACTTACGAAATGTATAGGACGAATAAAAATACCATCTCTTCGAAATTAAATGATGTTATGTCGACTTGAAGTACGCGGATTATGGGGGGTTTTTTTCTAGATCTAGTCACTACTAGAAAACGTGACGCTTAATTTCTTGTACGTATGCAGTACAAAATGTCCCCCGTATAAATTTGAATACAATGGCGTCTGATGTTTCAACTTTGATTGTGAGTATCCTCCTCCTCCCCTCGTTCCTCCCTCCCCCTCCCCC